GCAGTCTCAACAAACCTAGGCACCGTGAGGTCCTTCGAGGGCACCCCCCTGAGCCACAAGGCCGGCTGGGCCTCAAGGCCCGCGAGGGCCTGGGGGGGTCGAAAAATCCGTTTTTGAAAAATCTTCGTGTCCGCAATTGGCTGGGCATAGCCAAATGCGGTGAGCTAAAGTCTCAGGCTGCTCCTTACATCGGGGGCAACGCGGCGGGCAGGAATATCCTGCGGCAATCTGCCGCTCACGAGTCCACTGGCCCCCCGAGATGACGGCAATGTCGGCGGCCCACTCGTCGAACTTGGACTTGGCAGCCAAGCGGTTCAGCTCAATCTGCACCGTCGTCATGTCCGCTCCTGCTGCCAGATCCTCGCCCGCCTCATGGTGGGCCGCTTCCTTCCACTGCAGCTGAGCACAATCATCCATGAATGCGCCGAGCATATCCTCAAAATGCGAAGGAACAGCTGTAGCGAACTGCTCATCACCAAAAGCAGGGAACAGCCAATCATCGATCGTACCATCTGGCAAAGGACGTGACCAGACATCAGGACTTTGCGGATCCCAGCCAATCTGCAAGAGCGTGGCCTGCACCGCGGCGATGGGGCCGCGCACGTCCTTCCACTTCACCACCTGTCGCTCAGCAGCGCCACGTCGCAACTTCGCCAGTGTGATCGGCCACATCTTGCGAATGCGAGGATGGAGCATCGGCTGGGAAAGCCACAAAGCAATCCACTCCTTAATCATCTGCTTCCTCAAATCTATGCCAGGATCAGAAACCCCAAACACAGCTTGTAATGCCAAATTCAAACATCTGCCACGCTTCGTCCCAGCAACACTCGCTGCAGCATCACGCCTCAAAGCCAACAGAGAAGATGGCGGGGTGCCCATTATCTGATGGCCAAAGACTGCAGCAGGTAACACTCCAGTGCTGTAGAGCTTCTTGGTGATGAACCTGGTCTTGGGAAGCTGCCTCAATCGCATAACTTTTCGCTGCCGCCGTCGAGCCTGTGCACGTCGTTTCATCATCCGAGGCGCTATCCGCCGTCGCCCTGCAGCAGCATCAGAGCCCAAGTCGACAGTGGAGCGCACAAACTGCACAGGGATACCTTTGCGAACCAGTCGTCGCTGTAACTCCACACCAATCTCATCAGAACTGGCGACAAGCTTCGTTTTGTCAGAAATCTTCAACCTGAGCTTCTTGAGCCCAGTGGCCATAGCGTCAGCAGAAGCGTCCAAATTATCAATCACCTGCTGCTTTTTGCCCTCTGCCCGACCGACAATATCATCAATATAACTCCACAATCCAGTCGGGGGACAAGCACGGTGAACCTCATCCAGCAACTGATGAAGCATAACTTTGGCGAGCGGAACGCCATGTCCAGAACCAGCGACGATCGAACGTGAAACCACCAAGGCGTCCGATATCATCTGGCCCTTCTTCAAAAGCCTGGGAGAAGAGTAAAGACCCACTTCCAATAAGAGGATGATTGCTGGAAATCCGATATTCAAGCCGGCCTGCATCAGCAACACAAAAGACACCGAGTCGTAGAACTGGTGAGATCCAAGAACAGTGTCGCATGCTCAAAAGACAAGGCGTTGGCGCCTTCATCCATCACAGCTCTGATCAGTGCAGCTCTGAGCGCTGAAGATCCAGCAATAGCAGTATCCCAAAATGCAGATTGGGCAGCTGACCATTCACCTGAGTGTTTCGCACGCACCTTTGACCATACTTTGTGCGGCGTCGGGACTAGCCCCAACACTCTGTTGCCTCCAGCTCCCTTGGGAATCGCAGCACCCAGGACCGAGCTGAGGGGCGACGGCCAGGCGCCAGCCTGCTCGATATTATTCAAAATATCCACAAGACACTGCCTTGCCACCAATGGCTGTCGCTGAATATCAATGGGGTTCAGCACGTCCACGCCCTTCGCCTTCTTCGCTGGCAGCGTGGGCAGCACAGCGTCCACGTCCATGATGGTGATAGCAGGAAGTGGGTCATCTCGAGCAGCTGACAGACACTGGCCCATCATATACAAAATATCTGCAGGCTGATCGACAGGATCTCGCCACATCGCATTCCATTCAGAGGCAGACGTCTGGAGCATCGTCTGCTTGTCCGTGGTGATAGCACCTGCCGCGTCGCGGCCCCCCCACTCCAAGGGCGGAGCCTGCTTCACATGCCGATGTACAGCACCAGGCTTAGATGACCAGGACTCCTTCACCCACTTGACAAAGGACGAGCGCGAAGCTAACAAAGCCCGTGAAGTCGACAAGTCCGCCCACTGCGCGTGGTGTCCACCAAGGAAGTGAGCTGGCCAACAGGGACGCGATCCAAATCAGCAGCCATAGCTTTCCACAACTCAATCTCCTCAGCGGTGGACTTCTTGCCGAAGTACTCGACCGTCTTATCAGCAGGCAAGACTCCAACCCTGGCCTGTAATTCACGTGCGCAGCAATCAGCCTGATCAGGGTCAGCCCCATTCACACGGAGAGCCGCATGCCGAAAAAGCAAAGTGCTGACTACACCCCACCACTCGGCCTGCTCGTCCTTCATGTGAGCGCGCCCAGGGGAGGAAGTGACCTTGGCCCAATAGCAAGCAGGGCCACGAGCACGACCTGAGAACTGCATCCAAGTACTGGCATCGACCTGCTCGTGAATCAAAGTGGCACGCTCCAATGTAGAAATCCAAGCGCCGTAGGACTCATCCAGCCGAGCACGCTCCTCAGGTTGCCATTCAAAGACAAAGTGCTGACTGCGGTCAAAAGCTGCAACTTTGCCACGGGCACCCTCTGGCTGATCCTCAAACAGCTGGGGGAGGCCCTCCCAATACACCTGTGTCTGAGCTTCAAACCAAGTCTCCTCAGGAATGGCGAAAGACACAGTGGGCGCTGGCGGAGGCGCTGGCGGCTCCAGCTCGTCGAAGCCCTCCTGGAACTCGATGGGAAGCGCCTGCATGCGCCTCTGCCTCTGCTCCTCTCTCTTCTTAGACCGCTTACTCGCAGGATCAGCAACTGCAACGGGTCTATCACGAACGGGAAGAGGCTTGGGCACTGCCAGGTGCCTATACCATCGCTGAGAACGGGCAGCCTTCACAGTAACAACCACTCCACAGTGTGTCTTCCATGGCACACGCAACTCAGCTCGAAGCGACAACTCTGGACAACCAACACTGGCAATACCATAATCGTACATACGCCCTGGCCCTTTGTCGCAGGTCGCTCGGCAGGACGGCGTCACCACGACGGCGCCGAGCTTCTGGGGCCAACCAGTGCCTCGCAAGGCCGCGGGCTCGATGTTCCAGTCCGCCATCACCAGCCAGGGGTCCGCGAGCGCGCGCGTGAAAGCCCCCAGCGCCACAAGCACGTCATGGTTCCAGCCCTTCACGCCGAGGCCTGGCTGGAGGTAGGCAGCGATCAGGATCAAATTGCCGCCCTTGGTGTGGACCACCGTCGGCACGAAGCCACGGCAAGGGCCCAGGCGCCCAGCAGCGAGCGCCGTGCGCCGAGCACTCTCAAAGCTCGACGTCGCCACATGTTTCTTCGCCAGAATCCACTCGCCACCAGACAAGCCAGCCTCTGACTTGCCCGAAGGGCGGGCGGCCGTGTAAGCCATACGCCAGCCGTCTTTATCAATCGCCTGGCAGATGTCTGGCATGTCCTTCTCTCCTTTGTGTGTCTCAACTAGGGCCACGATGCTGCGCTCCTGCCCCTGGGCTAAGAAACGCGCAGCCTGCGGGCCCCACTCCGTGATGTTGCCGAAAAAGATGTCCAAGGACGTGTCGTCATCAGACTCTGGATGAGGTACGCCTGCAGCTTCCCCCCTGCAGGACGGGGAGCGAGCCGTGCTAAACACGGCCTGCACCAGCACCAGCAGCCGCAACGCCCTTGCCAGCGCCCGCATTGCCGCCTTTGCCAGCGCCAGCGGCCTTGCCATCAGCGGCCGCACGCGCCTGCGCCTGGGCGCTGCTCTTGATGCGCTCCAGCATGGCCTTCTGGTCGCTCTCCTGCACCACGACCTTCGCCTTGCTGGGCCCAGCAGCGGCCGCAGCGGCGCCAAGCGCCGCAGCGGCGCCAGAGCCAGCCGCGGGCGAGCCTTCGGCGCCGCCGCCAGCAACGGCCTCGCCATCGGCGCCGCGCTTGCGCCGCTTGGCCGCCGCCGCCGTGTGCGCCGACCTCGTGCGCTCCAGCAAGTCCTGGAACTCCTTCTGCTTGGCGTCGACCAGCTGGGTGACCTCCTCCAGCTGCTACTGGAAATTCACAAGCGCCTGCCTGTCGGACTCCTCCAGCTCGTCGAGGCACTCGAACAGCCCAGGGTCCAGGACGAAGCCCGACTGCTTGGTGGCCGCCTCGGGCGGGTTCGCCGCCTCCTGCACCTCCTGCACCTCCTGCCTCCTCGGCGGCCAAGACAGCGCCCGCCGCCTCGTCGAACTTGGCCTGGTCCTTCTCAAGCTGGAGGCGGGACTGCTCCAGCTTCTTCGCGGCCTTCTCCAAAGCCTCCTGCCTGCGAGAGCAATCCGCCGTGGCCTCCTTGAGCAGCGCATGCTGGGGCTTGGGCGGCGGCGCAGGGGCCGCCGCGAGCTTCTGGGACGCCAGGGTGCTGAACTCCGTCGCAAGGCGCGCCGCGTCTGGGTCCCCGTCGAGACCTGCACCAGCGAGAGCCTTCGACAGGTAGTCCCCGAGGTTGGCGAGAGACGGCAGAGACTGCCCATGGTCATGCCACCCACCGCCCGAGGACCACGGCGCCCACAACGTGCCGCTCGTCGTAGTACACCACCCTGGCTGAGGGGTGTTGCAGACTGCGCACACCCCTTTCTGCTTCTTGAGCCTCCAATTCCACGCCCAGTTGCCACACTGCGCGCAAGTGGAGAAGCCCTGCTTGCCATGATTGACCATCCGCTCCTGCAGGAGCTCACGAAGTATGCTCCAACAGGAGCCCACAAAAGCACTTCAGACTGGCTCGGGAGACAGAGCTATCCCAGTTTGGCACGGAGGCGCGGAGCCCCCTCGGTGCATCAGCCTTGAGCCAAAATGGCTACGGAAGAGGAGGAGGATGAGGAGGAGAAGGAAGGAGGAGGAGGAGGGAGGCGGAGGAGGAGGAGGAGGAGGAAGCGAGGAGGAGGGGAGGAGAGGAGGAGGAGGAGGAGGAGGAGGAGGAAGGGAGAGGAGGAAGGAGGAGGAGTAGGAGCGGAGCAGGAAAGCAGGAGCAGGAGGGGGTCCTGGGGGCAGGGGGCGGGGGAGGGGAGGAGGAGGAGGAGGAGGAGGAGGGAGGAGGAGGAGGAGGAAGGAGGAGTAGGAGCGAGGGAGGAGAGGCAAGAGGATCAGGAGGAGGAGGAGGCGCAGGAGGAGGGGGCGAGAGAGGAGGCCCAGAGGAGGAGGGGGGGGAGAGGAGACCTTCCCCGCCCCAGGCCACCGCCCACCAAGTCCCCACCCGTCGGCCCTCTCTCCACCGCGGAGGGCCCCCCCCCCCCCCCCCCCCCCTTTTTGAGTGACCGAGGGCCCCCCCCCCTTGGTGACAGAGGGGCCCCCCCCCCCCCCCCCCCTTGAGTGACGAGGGCTCCACCCTCCATCCTCCATCCTCCGAAACTCAAGAAATGCTCCTCGCTCCACCCTCCATCCTCCAACGAATGCCCAACGGTAACCCCAGGTTGAACAAGATCTGCCTTCATCATCCGTGCACATGGTCCACCCTCCACCCTCCCTGCTCAAAGAAACGCAAGCATGGTAGGATTCGGTCGGGTATGCCACCCATACAGGCCGATGTTGGACGAATACTACATATATTCGAACCATCAAAATACATCAAACATGGCAAACCAATAATCGAATAATCGTCCCAATGCAATGGTTTGTCTCTGTCTGAACATTCCTCCTGTAGAAGGAAACCCCGACTCAATAGTAAGATGATAACGTCCAACGAAACGTCCAACGATCACCCCAAATTGAACAGGATCTGCCTTAATCATATGTGCACGCGTTGCTCAATATTTCGCAATGTTGGGTCTGAACTTTGGGATGTCTTGGGCGAGAGTCCGAAGTTGACAAAAACCGCCCCTCGATTATGTAGATACTGCGCAATGTGGACCTTCGGGCCATAGATTTGAAAGAAATTCCAAGCGAGATCCACAATCCCAAAACTAGCCAGCATAGGCCCTTGCATAGCTGCTGGAAGCCGTGCGATCATTGTGCGCGGCGCTAAGGCGAGCGACGCATAACTTTAACCGCTGGCCCTCCGCCCTTGCCCTGCTAAGGACAATACAATACATTATGCGCGGCGCAATTGCGAGAGCCGCTATCTGAAAAGAACCAGCCATCATCCTTGCAGGCGTTGGGAACATTTGTTCATGAGTGAACACGACCACAGCGCACGAGCAAGCACCTGATGCCCGTCAGGGGACACTGAGCACGAGATCCGCTTCCCCCGATGGGTGCCATGATCGCACCCATCGGATACAGGCGCGGGCACGACGGCGGCAGTTCTGCGGAGGAGGAGGAGGAGCGAGGGGAGAAAGGAAACGCGCCAAATACTGCCATGATCCCTCGGCCTTCGAAGCCCTGCCGTGGCACATGACACCCAGGGCCTCCTCAGCCGCCAGACAAACAAACATCAGAGGAATTAATGCATCCACACCTGGAGCCCAAAGTGCCATAGCACAGTTCCCGAACAGAGCAGCAAAAAGGAGGAGGGAGGAGGGGAGGAGGACATAGAGAGAGAGAGAGAGAGAGAACGGCCGACTGCGCGCGACGCTAACAAGCGCGACCCATCCGTGTGTTTCTAAACCACTGGCACTCCGTCCTCGCACTGCTAGAAACTTTCCAAAAATCATATGCGCGCGGCGCTGAGGCGAGAGCCGCACTCAAAAACCACCAGCAGTCCATCCCCGTGGCCGCTGAAACCTTTGAGGACGACCTGTGCGCGGCGCCAAAGCGAAAACCGCACTCCGAAAACGATCGGCCCTCTATTCTGCAAGCTGTTGGGATTTGCTGCGTAAGCACAAACGAACGTGCACAGCAGCAAGGGCCGCACATTGATAACCTTTGGCCCTCCACCTCTGCAACAAACTTTGATACCAGATGCTCCAGATTGTGCAACGAGTGTACGGAAGCCTCAGACGAAAAGTCTGGCCCGGCCTGCCTCGAGGGTCGGAAGACTACTTCAAAGCTAGAGGCCTCCCAGATGGGGTCCGAGTAGATGGGGTCGGAGGATAACGCCGCATCGAGGCATCGGCGAATCACTGCCGATGCATCGGCGACGTCGGCGATGTATCGGCGACGTCCGCGTGGAGCAAATCGGGCCTCACATCGAGCCGCATCGCCGATGCATCACCGATCCCTCGTCTTGCAACATGAGGCCCTCTTCTCTTTCCCTTCCGACTGGCCTTCTGACACCAAGACGGGGGGAACACGAGGGAGGAGAGGAGAGAGAAGAAGGATGAGAGGTAGAGGAGAGAAGGAGAGAAGCAGAGAAGGAGGAGGAGGAGGGGGAGGAGGAGGACGAGGAGGAGGACGAGGAGGAGGAGGAGGAGGAGGAGGAGGAGGAGGGGGAGGAGGGGGAGGAGGTCTGGCACCGCATCACGGGGGAGGGGAGAGCAGGTGGCCCGAGGGGAGCAGGGACACCGGGGACTCCCTCGGCACCACGACGAGGGAGCCCGGCCTCCTCCACGCGTCTGCCCAATCGGCGCGGCCCCATCGAGCGAGCAGGCAAAAGACAGAGGAACCCGCTGCGCTCTCGGACGGCCCTCGAGGTCGCTCACACACACATACATATCTACATATGCATATATATACACATATAGATGTATACATGTGTAAACATATATATGTGTATATATATATGTGTAAATATAGAATACCATAGGAATTCGATCACGAGAAGCCTTTCACAAGAAGCCCTACCCTGAGACCCCAGGATGCCCATTGATCCTTTGAGTGGGAACGTCACGCTCTTCACAGCCGAACCATCGAGACCCGAAAACCCAGGGCACACTGGAGGCAAGCAGGGTGTTTCTTTGCATGGGCTTCCACTGTAGACGCACATTCCGGGATCGCCCATCTGTTTCCAATGTTTGGGGGTGCCCCAGCGGGGGTGGGGGGGGCCGATACCCCAGCGTCGATCGGACCTGTACGAGTCGGGAGTAGGGTTCGCAAGTGATCGCAGATCGAAGCCACAGACGCGAGAAAGAGAAAGAGAGAGAGAGAGAGCAACAGAGCAAGAGAGAGAGAGAGGGAGCGAGAGAGGTCAGAAAGCTTGAGGGAGGCGAGATGGGGGGGCCCGTGGCTCGACTTTCATGCCTGTCCCCACCATCCCTCCTGTTCCCGGCGAGTGGGTGAGGACAGGTCGGGAGGGCACGCGTGGGGGACAACGGGGGAGAGGTGGAGGAGCGCGCGAAGGAGGCGGCGCACATGCGCGGCGGAGAAGGGCGGACAAGGAGGGAGGGAGGGAGGGCGAGGCAGGGACATGAGAGGCTGCAAGGCCGGCGGCGGCGGAGGAGGGAGCGGAGGGACCCCTGGGGACAAGGCGGAGCAGCGGAACCCTCTGCTCGAAGTCGCCCCCAGGGGACCCTCCGAGTTCCCGCCCTCGGCAGTTTTTCGAGCTGCGCCCCGGGGACCCTCCCCCCCCTCCCCCGGGGAGGCGCGCAGGGGAAGCCCTCCGACATCAGAGCGCCGCCGTCGACGCCCTCCCCCTCGGCAGCGGCTGCGCCCGAGGCTCTCGTCTCCGTCCCTCCCTTCTGCGCCGCGCCGCTCGCCCTGGGCGTTGCGTAGAGGGCGGGGGCGATGACCGACCGGGCGGGGGACCGCAGAAGCGTGCAGAGACGTCCACCTTTTGGGCCCCAGGGAGCCCCCTGGAGGGCCCCCTGGGGTGAGCAAAAGACACACTTTTCTTCACCCCTTCGGTAGCAACTCATAGGAGCCTCCCATACCATACTGCTTGCTGTTGTGAGTCGACGCTAATCGACTCTAGTTCAACGCTGATCGACGCAAATCGAGGCTAAATCGGCGCTTCCCCATCGACTACCATACGCTAATCGGACGCTGAAGACGGAATTGCAAAGGCACACAAGGCTCCCAGACCTTGCCCCTCATGTTTTCTCTGAGCGTTCGGGCGGAGTGTTCCGGGAACGTTCTGGACGCAGACGGGCGACGAGGGAACGAGGGAAAGGAGAAGGAGGAGAAGGAGGAGGAGGAGGTGGAAGAGGAGGAGGAGGAGGAGGAGGAGGAGGCCGAGGGAGAAGCAACGACGACCCCCAAAGCGCAGAAACGACAAATCGAGAGGACAGGAAGCGAGAGAAGAGGCGACAGAACGACGTGACACGACGACAAGAGGCAGAACGACAGGAAACGAAAGGATCGCCCCCCCACGTTGCGCAACGCCCGATCTTGTGCGGCCGCGGCGCGCCGGGAGCCCCAGCGCGGCTCACTTCAGGGGGATGAAGCTCATCTTGCCTCGCACAGGGAACGGGGCACGGGCGCCGCGGAGTCGCAGGAGGAGGCGGAGGAGGAGGAGGAGGAGGAGGAGGAGGGGGAGGAGGAGGAGGGGAGAGCCTGCCTCCTCGATCCTCCGGGGGATCTGTGTGGTCGAGGCCTTTCCATGTCGGGCCGCCTGTGTGCCGCCCGTTGTCGCGCCTCCGGAGTCCTCCTGGGAGGCCTCTCCGCGACGCCTCGCTTCCAGAGAGCCCTCGGTGGGGGGGGGGGCGACCGCGGGGAGGGCGGGCAGGCCCCCCAAGGAAGACTCTATAGTAGGTCGGGGATCCACGGACCTCCCAGAACATCGTGAACAGGCACCAGGGCATCTGCTTGCCGCTTGTCTGGGCTCCGCGGCCGCCAGCGTGCGGTCCAGGGCAGAAGAGGTGCCCCTGGAGAGGGGTCGGGAGGCCCCGGGAGAGCCACGAGCTGGGAAACCGCCCCACGCCAGACGTCTGAGCGCTCCGCATCCTTTGCAGCGCTTGGGCCTCCACCCTCGGAGAGGCCCAGACACCGCTCTGCTCGGGATCCGGAGCCCTGCTCCGGATCCGGAGCCACTGATCGGCGGCGAGACCGGGGGGGGGGAGGGGAAGTGAGAAAAGTGGTGGGCTGTCTCAGAAGGCTCGGAAGCCCCCGCGGCCTTCTGAGAAGTTCCCCGAGCCTTCCCCCGGAGACACGGAGCACTCCTCGGAAGGCTGGGGGCTTCTGAGAAATCCAGCCGCCTTCCGAGAGGGCCTTCTCCTTCTCACTGCCCCGCCTCCATCTCAGGGCCCGAACCCAAAGACGGTGCCAGAGGGCCCCAGACAGCCCCAAAGACAGCTCCAAGATCCAAGAGGGGACCAGGAGAGCTCCCAGGAGGAGCCCCAAAGGGGCCCCCAACGATGTCATCTACGTACCAGAAGCCCGTGGTATGATGCTTATCCAGAGCATTTTCTTAGGGTGGAGGGCTCAGGGTGAAATCCATATGGGCTCTCGCATCTCGAAAGCCAATCCGTCTGGTGACTCACCTTTTGCAGATTCGAGCCTCGACAACCCATCGAAACGGCATCTCAGCTCTCACCCTCTGCCCTCCACCCCGAGAAACTGCTCGGCCATCGTTCGGGGCCGCCGAGGCTCGGGGCCCCCGCCCCCGAAGCAGCACCGCCCACTGCTGGGCCGGCGGTGGGCGAGAGCCGAGGCACGCCTCCCCCCCCCCCCCGACGTGCGCGAGGGGGCGCCTCTCGAGGCCGGCGGCCCCCCCCGCGGCGGGGCGGGGCAGCTGGGCAGCGGAGCACTCCCTCCTGACGGGCCTGTTGTCCACCACCACCACCAGAAATTGGAGGGGGGACGGAAGTGGAGGAGGAGGGAGGAGGGAGGAGGAGGAGAGGAGGAGGAGGAGGAGGAGGAGGAGGAGGAGGACCCCCTCCCCATCCAACTTATGGTGGTGGTGGTGGAAAACAGGCCCATCAACTCCGCGCACCCTCGCGGGCCGCTGCTGCCCCACGAGGTGCGCGTTGGCACTCGGCCAGGAGGGCGCTTGTCTTGGAGCGAGCCTCGAGGGACAAGAGAGAGAGAGAGAGAGAGAGGCTGCGCGCTTGCCCCCCCCCCCCCTCACCCCCCCCTCCCCCCCCTGATTAGGGGTCCATTTGGGCCCCAAACTCGCCCATGCAGTTAGTGCAGCAGCATCATTGGAGCGAAGCCTCGTCTCGAGGCGCTTCCGGCTTTCTTTCCTCAGGGATTCAGCATCACCAGCAAGAAGGGGCGCTTCTCAGGCCTGTTTGCTCTTGCTATGAGAAGAAGAACAGATGCCCTCAGGGTCTTCTCTACGAAGGAAAAAAAAAAAAAAAAAAAAAAAAAAAAAACGTTCACATCCAACTTTTGGCGCTCCGCGGGATTTCTTGGATTGCGCCTGGGCAGGCACCCCCCTCCTTTTACCCCCCATCCAGCCGCGCAGCTCGCCGCCAAACCAACCCTCACCCCCACGCCAAGGGGGCTGCGCGGGGCGGCGGCGCTGGCGGGGGGGGGGGGGGGGGGGGGGGCCCCCCCCCCCCAGCGCGGATCCAAGAACTCCGCGCGGAGCGCCAACAACAAATGTTCATGGCGTTTTCTCTTCTTCGATCTCAGGCTCTTCTCTGCACGGCGGATTCCGGAAACCCTGAAACTCCAAAACGATGCCATCTTTTTGGAGAGCGCACTTCTTTTACCTTCGCCACCCTCCGCCAGCCTCCCGCCGACCTTCCGCCCGCGGAGCCGCCGCCGTTGTACTTCCGCAGCCCTCCGCCGAGGAAGAGATACGGTTGAGGGAAGAAGAGGAGACTGAGAGATGATAGATTACGGTTTTTCTTTGAGGGAAGAAGAAGAAGGAAAGGAAAGGGAAAGAAGAAGAAATTCAAAAGGAAGAAAAGAAAAGAAAATAAGAAAGGGAAAAGAAGAAAGAAAAGAAGAAAGAAAAGAAGGAAGAAAGAAAGGGAAAGGAAGAATTTAGAAAAGAAATTCAGCAAAGCAACACCCCCCCTCCCACGAACTTCAAAGCTGGCAGTTCCGGAAGACCAACTCGGAAGGCCCAAAACATCGGAGATCGGGGGGATGGGAGGGGGGAGAGGAGAGAGTGGATGTGGGAAGGAGAGTTCAGAACATGTGTTCTGCAAGAGCTCTGCTGGCTCCCGACACCCGTACCCAACTCCTTCGACCCTCGAAGGCGAGGCCCCTTCCGCGACGCATCGCATGCCGCCTGGCTTCGCACCTCTGCGCACCCCGCGCGACGCGCGAGTCTCTTCGCGCCCCTGCGTGTGACCCGGCCCCAGAGGATCCCCGACACCGCGCCCGAAAGTCGGACCTCCGTTCTGGAGGGGAACAGCCCCGAGGGTGAGGGGGGCAGCCTTCCAGGGTGGTGGCGGTCGAGCCTCCATGCTGGAGGTTTCCACAAGGAACGAAAAAACGGCATGAACAGAAACTGTTGGCGTTCTGGAGGGGAACAGCCCCGAGGGTGAGGGGGGCAGCCTTCCAGGGTGGTGGCGGTCGAGCCTCCATGCTGGAGGTTTCCACAAGGAACGAAAAAACGGCATGAACAGAAACTGTTGGCGCTCCGCGCGGACTTCTTGCGTCCGCGCCGGACCTCCCTCCCTGGCGCGCGGAGCGGAGCGCCAAAAGTGAATGTTTATGGCGTTTTTTCTTCTTCAATTTCAATCCCCTGGACAGACTGCAGCCGACTTCACAGCAAAGAAGCAGATTTCGCACGAGGATCGCTGGCCGGCCTTCCGCGCAACTATCCTGGCCCTGCCTCCTGGCGAGTGGACCCAGCGCGGACGCCCAGCTGGCCGCGCGCGCGCGACCCTCCAACCACGGGCGACGAACACATCTGTACAGTGGAGGGCAGTCCACAAGAAACCTTCCACAAGAAACCAAACCCTGAAGCCCCAGGGCGTCGATTGATTTTTGGTGGGGGCATCGCGCTTTCCATAGCAAAATCACCGAAACCCAAGAAACCCAGGGCACACTGGAAGCAAGCAGGGTGCTTCTTGGCAAGGGCATCCACCGTATCCGCGCCCTCGCGGTCTGGATAGAGTCTGGATACCAGGGGGTGCAGAAGCGCGACCCCATGGATAGGCGATTTCGTGGATACGGCCCTCGCGCGGGGCGTCTGTTCAAAGCCGCCCTGCAATCATGGGCAGAAGAAGGACAAAAACGGCATACACAGAAACTTTTGGCGCTCCGCGCGGATTTCTTGGATCGGCGCCAGACCCCCTCCCTGGCGCGCGGGGACGGCGCCGGAGGCGCCGCCGGGGGGGCCCGAGCGCAGATCCAAGAAACCTGCGCGGAGCTCCGAAAGCTTCTTTGTATATCGTTTTTCTTTTTCGAATCCATGGGGTCGAGGTGTAGGATTCCAGGCCGCGACGCCGCGGTCATGGAAGAGTGTCCCACCCACGACCTGCGCGGAGGCGAGCCCGGGAGACCCGACAGCCAGCTGCCTGGCAGCTGCTGAAGATCTGCTCGCGAGCGGGGCTCAGTTCTTAATGAGCCGAACTCGATACACCGACGCTTTTCCCGACCCCGTACTGACCTTCGCACAGGAAGACGGATCCTGGTGTATACAGGATCCTGGTCTATACGTTTTTCGTTGTTTCCCCGAGAAGAAAAAGAAAACCAGCATACACCACACCACCCCGACGTCGTCCCCGACCCTCAGAGAGTCCTGAGAATGAAAAACAGCCCGCCACTGGATACATACATATATATATATATATATATACACACAACACTACATTGGCGCTGCACGTCATGCACCTTGGTCCTTGAAGTTTGGCATGCAAGCGGAATGGCAGGAAAGTGAAACAAACAATTTGGCGATAACTCTTTGTTGTCTTTTTCCGGCATCGCCGTGATAATAATGTTATCCAGCATCCTGCTTCCATGCTTCTTTTACCTCATTCTCGCCCTACCCTGCGAATTCTTCCCCATCTTCCTCAACTCTTTTTGCGGAGGCTCCTCCTTGGAGAGCCTCTGGGGGCCTCACGGAAATGTTTCAGGCTTTCTTCCAGCCTTCTGGAGGCCTCCTGGGCGTCTTCTGGGGGGCCTCTGGGGGCTTCCTCGGGCCACCCTGCCTCCAACCGCGGTCTCCCTGAACGAAAAGGTCACGATTTGGAACGCTTCGGAGGGTGTCTTGGGGCCATCTTGGGCCGTCATGGGGCTCTCTTAAGCCATCTTGAAACCCTGTTGTACCGTCTTGGGGCTCTTATGGGGATTCGAAATCAATTCAAAGGAACTCGAGGCCGCAAGAAGCCGACGGCTGGCCCAGCTGGGCCGGGACTGTTGGAAACCAGAGTAAAACTATAAAAAATACAAAAATACTTTCAACCATTTCATTGTTTCGCTTCCTGTTGTCGCTTCCGATTGTCTCTTAAGGCGTCTAGATGCATCCAAAACGGCTCCAGATGAGTCCCCAGACGAGCCCCACAGAGACCCAAGGCTGGCGCAACAGGGCCCGAAGAGTGGGGCCCAAGAGTTGACAAATGGAGGGAAATCATAGGAAAAACGAGGTTTTGGGTCTTCTCGCCTTGTCGCTTCCGATTAGCTCTTGAAGCGTCCAGACAGCTCCAAGACGTCTCCAAATGAGTCCCCAGGCGAGCCCCAAAGAGGCCCAAGGCTCTCGCAACAGGGTCCGGAGATGGCGCAACTCGGCCCGGAGAGTGGGGCCCGAGAGTGGACAAATGGAGGAAAATCATTGGAAAAGCGAGGTTTTGGGTCTTCTCGCCTAGTCGCTTCCGATTGGCTCTTGAGGTGTCGAGACAGCTCCAAGACGTCTCCAACTGAGTCTCCTGACAAGCCCCAGAGAGGTCCAAGGCTGGCGCAACAGGGCCCGGAGAGTGGGAAAACGCAATGGAAAAGCAACGCTTTCGGCCGTTTCGCATTTTCACTTCCGGTTGACTCGGGGGGCGTCCAGACGACCCCAGGACGGCCACAGGGAGGCGCAAGACAGGCCCGAGGATTCGAAAATCTTTTGGGGGAGGGCGCGGGGGTGGGGGGCGCTCCCCAGCCCTATAGGGCCCGGAGAGGGGGGCCCAGAGATGGACAAATGTAGAAACATCATTGGAAAAGCGAGGTTTTTTGGTCTTCTCGCCTTGTCGCTTCTGATAGGCTCTTGAGGCGTCCAGATGAATCCAAGACGGCTCCAGATGAGGCCCCAGACGAACCCCAAACAGGCCCAAGGCTGGCGCAACAGGGCCTGGAGAGTGGGAGAAGCAGAGAAAACGCAGTAAAACAGCAATGGTTTCGGCCTTCTCGCGTGTACACTATTGCTTCACTCGGGGGGCGTCAAGACGACCCCAGGATGGCCACAGCAAGGCGCCAGACAGGCCCGAGGAGGCGAAATTCGTTTGGGGAGGGGGGGCGCTGGGGTGTGGGCTCCCCGGCCCTATAAATCATATGAATAGGATACACATGTGTATATATATATGTATGTATGTATCACATATGAATGTCTCTCTCTCTCTCTATATATATATTTGTGTGTATATATACACATTTACATACGCACACACACACATATATATATAATACATATATGCATATGCTCCAGTTTCCGATACCTAATACCCGGAGCCGAGCCTGCCCCGCACCGACGAGCCTCTGCGCATCGAGGCCGGGGCCTCGAGATACCGCAGGCGCGCCCCCTGCCGCCTGCCGAAGGCACAACCGCCGTGCTGCCCCGAGGAGCGCCGACTGAGGAGCGGCGGGGCCTTCCCGGCCACGGCGAGCCTCGACTCACCGTCGCTCGGACGTCGATTCCCCGTGCAGTTTGTTCGGTGCCGTGCGTCTACGTCTTCGTGGTGTGAGCCACGGTGCTCCTCGGTGGCCCTCGCCGAAGGAAAAAATGCGCACGCCCGAGCGGCTGCAAGACCTCGTCGCCCTGCCGGAGGTGCCGACACGCCGTGCTGCCCCGAGGGAGCGCCCCGAGGTGCGGGGAGCGGCGGGGGGCTCTCCCTCCCGGCGCCACGGCGGGCCTCGGCCACGCACGTGCTCCCCGACCCCGTGCTGCCCCGAGGAGCGCCGATTCGGGAGCGACGGGGCTCTCCTCAGGGGGCCACGTGCGAGCCCCAGCCCTGCCCCCCACGATTTCCGAGGGGGAGGGCGGGGTTCACTTCGCGGGGGGGCAGGGGTAGGGTTGGGTCGGGCATGTCCCCCTACAGGCGGAGTGTGGACGAAAATTGAAAAATACCCGAAAAGGGTACAACAATTGCTCAAACATGATCAACAGATCGTCCCCGGACCATTGTTTTTTACTATCTTTGGAGAGGGACACGCCCGTTCTAAGGGAAGGGCTCGCGTGTGGCCCCCTCGTCCTGGGCACGGCGGGCCTCGGCCACGCACGTGCCCTCCGACCTGGCTCTCGGGGAGGGCCCGAAGACCATGGGCGGCGAGCCCGGGGGGGGGGAGGTGAGAGGCTTAGCTGCCCCGATACGCAACGCGCAACAAGCAGCGTGTTGATGCGGAGCTCAACACGTAGACTAAACACGTACGTTTTGAACACACGGACGTTCTGAACACGGCACGTGTTACGTTTCAAGACGTGCGTATCAGAGCAGCTAAGGTGAGGAGGAGAAGGCCCTCTCAGAAGGCTCGGAATTCGCAGGCCTTCTGCAACAAGCGTTCGTCTGAGCCTTCCCCGAAGACGCAGCAAGAAAAAACCTCTCAGAAGGCCCGAGAGGCTTTCTGGGAAGCCCCGCCGCCTTCTGAGCAGGCCTCCTCTTGCTCTCTTCCACTCCTCGCTCGCCGCCGAAACCAGAGCTAGAGGAAGAACAAAATCCATAAGCATACTCTTTTGGCGCTCCGCGCGGATTTCTTGGATCCGCGCCGGACCCCCCTCCCTGGCGCGCGGAGCGCGCCAGGGGCGGCGCCGGAGGCGCCGCCGGGGGGGCCCAAGCGCGGATCCAAGAAATCCGCGCGGAGCGCCAAAAAAATATGTTTTTGTTTTTTCTTCTTCGATCCTAAGCCCTAAGCTTAGGTCGGCCTGTCCCCCTACAGGGGGATCTTGGGCGAAACATGTATAAAAATAGTCTAAACATAAACTAAACATACTAAAACAAATACTCGAAAAAATCGTCCCCAGACTAATTTTTGAACATTTGGGAATTCTCCCCCTGTGGAGGGACACGCCCGACTTAGCCCAAAGCCCACAATGGCCCGTCTCGCGGCATCCTCGATGTACGCGCGCGCAGGCATATCCTCGCCTGTCGCTGGGCGCTCGGCGAGGCCAAGGCCCCGGGGAGGACACGGCGGGGAGGAGGAGGAGGAGGACTGGGAGGAGCAGGAGGCGGGGGAGGAGGAGGAGGAGGAGATGAAGGAGGAGGAGGAGATGAAGGAGGAGGAGGAGGAGGAGGAGGAGAAGATGAAGGAGGAGGAGGAGGAGGAGATGGAGGATGATGATGATGCTGATGATGATGCTGCTGATGATGATGATGATGATGATGGTGGTGGTGATGATGATGAAAATGATGATGAAAATGATGATGATGATGATGATGATGATGATGCTGATGCTGATGCTGATGCTGATGATGATGATGATGATGATGATGATGATGATGATGATGATTCTGATCATGATTATGATGATGATGATGATGATGATGATGATGATGATGATGATGATGATGATGATGATGATGATGATGATGCTGATGCTGATGCTGATGCTGATGCTGATGAGGAGGAGGAGGAGGAGGAGGAGGACGACGAGGACGACGGCGAGGACGACGAGGACGGGGAAGGGGGAGGTGGAAGGGGAAGGTGTTTGCAGTGCGTTGCTGACCACCAAGCTCTGAAGGCAGGAGGGCCTGCCGGGCACGGAGAGCCAGGGCAGAAGATGTGACATAATCACGTCGGCCTGGACGCCCAGACGCCCCAAGGGGGTGCGCATGTATAATAAACAAAAACCTTTAGCGCATAGCTACCTTGGCCCACGCCGTGCTGGGTGGAGCGTTCTACGCACAGCGGCGGGTCGATACACACACCATATTCTGGACGGGGAGAGGAAAATTGGGACGAGGAGGAGGGGGAGGAGAAGGAGGAGGAGGAGGAGGAGGAGGAGGAGGAGGAGGAGGAGGAGGAGGGGGAGAGAGAGGAGGAGGGGGGAGAGGGGGAGGAAGGGGAGGCTGGGGGAGCGTTCTACGCACAACGGCGCGTCGTTGTACGCACCAGATTCTGGACGGGGAGAGGAACATGGAAAGAGGAGGAAGTGTAAGAGGAGGAGGAGAGGAGCAGAAGCACCAGCAGCGGAGGAGGGGGAGGAGGGGGGGGAGGAGGAGGGGAGGAGGAGAGAGGAGGAGGAGGAGGAGGGAGGAGGAGGACAAGAGAGGAGGAGGAGGACCAGAGGAGGAGGAGGAAGGATGAGGAGGACAAGAGGAGGAGGAGGAGGACAAGAGGGAGAGGAGGACAGGAGGAGGAGGAGGAGGAGGAGGAGGAGGAGGAGGAGGAAGAGGGGGAGGAGAAAAGGGAAGGAGAAGAGAGAGGAAGAGGACCCTCAGCCGCAGGAGCAAGAGCTTGAGGGGAGGGGGGGCGGCGAGGAGGCCGCGCGCGATCCCTCCCCCCCAGGCGCCGCCTCCCATCCCCGCGCGCCCGTGCTTGGTCGGCTTGTACGTGATGGAGAACTCCCCGAGGTAGTGCCCGATGGCCTGCCGGGGGGTGGGCAACGACGTCATGGGGGGGGCCAGCTCAGGGGGGAAGGGGAACAGCGACCTGGAATCGGCGACACCATTGTCGATTTAAGTCTGGCGTGTCCATCAAATTCAAAAAACTCAAAGAACAATCTGGGGACGATGTTGCTACTATGTTTGACACGTTGAGGGCCTTTTTCGACTATTTTTTCACACAAAAACCGCCTGCAGGGGGACATGCCCGACCTAAGTGTCGATAGATCGGCGGTGGGCCACCGACAGCGAATCCCCGCGTGCTTCCTGGGCGGGGCGGGGCTGTCGGGCCCCTACCGGCGACCCCTGGGCGATTCGGGGCAGATGCAGCCCCTCCTCTTCCTCCCTCTCCTCCTCCCCCTCTCCCTCATCCTCCCTCCTCCGGCTGCGCTCTTCCTCCTCCCCCCCCTCCTCCTTCCTCCTCCTCCTCCTCCTCCTGTCCTCGTCTCCTCACTCCCTCCTCTCCTCCTCCTCCTCCCTCCTCCCTCCCTCCTCCTCCTCCATCCCTCCTCCTCCCTCCTCCTCCTACTCATCCTCCTCCTCTCCTCCTCCCTCCTACTCCTGCTCCGCGCCTCTCCCCCCCCTGACATTGCCCCTGGAGTGGGGCGACGGCCCGGGCAGCATGCGGGAGCGCGCACTCGCCGCCCGCTGCGCCCCCAGGCAGGAGGCGTCGAAGCACTGCGCTGCCGCTGTGCGGGAAGTTCGTGCTGTGACGGCGCCGGCGCCGGCCTTTTGCCGGCGGTGCGCGGAATGTAGAGGGCAGAAAACCCACCCCCATAATAATCACCCCGACAAGCGAAGCCGTTCAGCAAACGCGCCCAGGGAAGCAATCGAACAGGGCGGGGCTGATTAGCAAACGCCCAGGGCCGTTTAGTAAGGGTCAATTGTCGGGTCCAGGTGGTTTTTCCTCCCTTGACAATTGGGGGAAGGCTTAGGCCGGGCATGTTCTCCCTACAGGCGGTTTTTGGGCAAAAAATGAAAATAGTCGGACCACGCAAACAATTTTGATGATTTTTGACGATTTTTGAGTATTCCTCCTGCAGAGAGACACGCCCGACTTGAGGGAAGGCAGACGGGGCGGGCCTCCCCAGCGGTCTCAGAAGGCCCCTGGCCCGGTGGTCAGCTTTCGGGGCTGATAGTCCAAGGGCCCGCCCCCTCGCGCTTTCCCCCCGGGGCACGGCGCCGATCTCGGCACCGCGTGGCTCGTCGTGCAGCCTTGGAGGATCGCGGCCTTCCGATAGCGCGGGTCGCTGGGGTGTCGGTCAGACTCGGCCACCGGCGGCGTTCGGCCTCGAGCCCCCGACCGCGCTGGGATCGACGCCGCGTTGGCGTGACGCGAAGCGCTCATGGGGTCCAGGCAGGAGCCCAGCGTTGAGGCCCCTGGGCGTGGAGCTCAATGCTTGGAGAATGGACCCACTGGCCCCGGGGAAGTTGTCCAGACCTTCGGGGCGGCCCACGCATCAAAAGAACTGGAGCGGCTCAGGGGCATCCGCCACCGTGCCGCGAGGCGCGAATTGAAGCGCCCTCAGGTCCCCTGTAAAATCCTCAGTCGAGTCGACAGCCCTCCGAAATGAACATCAAGGGGCCAAGGCCCCAAGTTCTCACACTTTCCCAGGTTCCCGACGTGCCCACCGCGGTTCCCCGGGGGCTTCCCGCATGACCTTTTCAGAGCCGCGAGCGCCCCAAAACGGCCAAGTCAGCATTTTCTGATTCGACTTTTCGATATTGGGCGGGGGGGCGGAGGGAGGGGGGGGTCTGGCTCCAGACCTCTGCTTAGCGCGACTGTTTGCAAGAGTGCTGCCTGTGGGGGAGACTCCACCCGCTCGAAACAGGCGCCAAAAACAGCCAAGATCTACTCCATTAGGGGGGGGGAGGGGGCGGGGTGCGAGAGCCCGCGCCGATCGGCAAAACAATGAATAAAAAACAATCACCAAGAAGAAGGCCCCGAGAGGCCTCTGGCCTGTCAACCCAGCCACGGTGGCTGGACAGGCCGAAGGCCAATAAGCCAGATCTGCCGCCCCCTCTTGGCTTGCCACCGGGGTGCACGGCATGCCAGATGTTAGGCAAATCTTGGCTGCCGAAAGTAAGATCTGCCGCCCCCTCTGAGTTGGCTTGCCAACGGGGTGCTGCGCGGCATGCCAGATGTTAGGCAATTGTTTGGCTCCTTCTGAAACTGACACGCGCGTTCCACTACTCGCAAAATAACTACTCGCAAATGGCCTGGATCCGCCGCGGGGGATTTACGATACATTACACAAAGTCTGACGTATGGTTTTTCGGACGTTTGCGAGTAGGCACTTTGCGAGTAATTGAACGCGCTCGGCGATGAAAAGTTCCCAAACACCTTCGGCCCAACCCGCCGGCCACCCGGAAGAACGCGGACGGAAGGGACAAACTGGAAAAATCGCTTCCACGAGGATCCGTAAACTGTCCAGGCCGTCGGCTTCCCGCGCCAGACGGCCCGAAGAGGGCCTTCAAGACGGCCAAGCTGGTCTCCAAGACGGCTACGATGGCCCCAAGAGGGCCCAAGATAGCCCCAAGCTGTCTCCAAGACGGGCCGAGGTGCCCCCAAGATGGGCCAAGATGGCCTCAAGATCGCGCAAGACGGGCCAGAAGGCCTTCGAGACGACCCAAGAGGTCTCAAACTGGGCCTCCAGGAAGGCCCGCAGAGGTCGAATTCACTCATGCTCCGGAAGCTTTTGACGGATTTTGGCGCTTGCTCATTTTCGGCTTTCCGACGGTCCAAGACGGCCCCAGAGGCCACCAAGATGGTCCCAAAAGCACCCATGAGGCCTCAAAGATGGCCGCCTGACGGCCCAAGAGGCCCTGAAGACGGCCCCAAGATAGCTTCCAGACGGACCAGGCGTCCTCCAAAATGTCCAAACAGGCCTCCAAGACGGCCCTGAAGCGCCCAAGTGTGGCCCTCAACCGGGCCCAGAGATGCCCCAAGGACGAACTCCGACGGCGTCACGAGAGCCAGGAACACCCTCAGACGGCCAAAGAGCCTCCCAAGGAGCCTCGAAAGACCCTCAAGAGGCCCAAGCTCTCAGAAGTGCCCCAAAAGACTCCCAAGAGGCCTCCTCCTCCTCCTCCTCCTCCTCCTCCTCCTCCTCTTCCTCATCCTCCTCCCCCTCTTTTCTCCTCCTCCTCCTCCTCCTCCTCCTCCTCCTCCTCGTCCTCCTCGTCCTCATTTCTCCTCCCTCTCCTCCTCTTCTTCTTTCTCCCCAGGTGTTCCCCGAATAGTTTCCACAGCGGCCTGGGGGAACACACAGTCCGATATAGCTTGGCCGAGCTCTGCCCGCAACGTTCGGCGACACGGGCGCTTCCAAAAGGCAGGAGGCGGCGGCGACTCGCCGCGGGAGTCTTCGATAATCGGGGGTGACGACGGGGGCGGATAGCCCAGGGGAGAACAATACATGTATCCAATGGCGCCGATGATCCATGCCTTCGGCGAGTCTCCCGGGCGAATACGTGTAATGCCCGCCACTGGGCTATTCGCCCCTATCGGCGCCCCCGAGATAATAGCACGCGCAGGCCATGAGCCCAGACATCCAGCGGCTTCGCTTTGTTCCATGCGTGGGCCTCGGAGGTCTGGTCGGGCGAGTGGTAATGGGGGGGTGACCTGAATGGGGGGTGACAATAAGGGCCGGGAAAGTGCACTTTAAAGCCCTTTTCTCCACCCCCCAGTACCACCCGCCCGATCTGGACCACTTCCCCGGGCCCGGCTTTGCGCCCCGAGTCGATTTGTTGACGGCCCCGAGGCCCGGCGAGGGCCCCAGGAGTGGGCCGAAAGCGGGCCCAAAACCCCGCCACTGCAATTTTTGGGGAGCGTCGGACCTCTAGGTTTAGGTCCGGCATGTCCTCCTACAGGCGGATTTTGGAGGAACAATGGGAAACAGTCCAAAAATATTCAAACATAACCAAAAGTAATACAAAAATAGTCTCCAGACTACTTTTCAACAACTATTTTTGAATACTCCTCCTGTAGAGGACAGGTCCGACTTAAGTCTAGACATGAGGGCAATCGCTGCAGGCAGGCCCGGGATCGAGAGACGACGCACAGGCAAGACGAGGCCAGCACGAGGATTGACCTCACGCGAGGATGATCTCTGAGATCCGGCGGCTCTGGAGGCTGCCTTGGGCGCCGCGGCCTTCTCGGAGCGTTCCCGGGTGCTCTGAGAGCGTTCTGGAACGCCCTGGAACGGATCAGTCCTCGTTCTGGCCCCGTTCGGGGATCCACAGACTCATGTCGATGCAAACCCGGGTCAGTCATGCCCTGCAGGATCCTCCTGCAAGATCCTGCAGGATCCACTGCATGCAAGCCTGGGTCAATGCACCCCTGGCTCTGCAGGCTCCTGCAAGATCAGGCGCTCTGACTGGAGGAGGTGGAGGAGGAGGAGGAGGAGGAGGAGGAGGAGGAAGAGAGGAGGAGGAGGAAGAAGAGGGGGGAGGAGGAGGAGGAGGAGGAGGAGGAGGAGGAGGAGGAGAGGGGAGAGAGGAGGAGGAGGAGGAGGAGAAGAGGAAGAGGAGGATGAGGAGGAGGAGGAAGGAGGAGGAGGAAGAAGGAGGAGGAGGGGAGGAGGCGGAGGAGGAGGAGGCGGAGGAGGGCGGGGAGGAGGAGCGGGAGGGAGGATTGGAGGTTGGAGGTTGGACGAGTTGGAGTGGAGGCGGAGGAGGAGAGGAAAGGAGGAGGAGGAGGAGGAGGGATTGGACGAGGAACCCGGGTAGGATGGAGACCCCGTTGCATCCTCCTCCTCGATCTCCTCCATCCTCCTGCTCCCCCTCCTCTTTCTCCTCCTCCCTCTCCTCCTCCTCCTCCTCCTCCTCCTCCTCCTCCTCCTCCCCCTCCTCCTCCCCGTCTTCCACCTCGTTCCTCCGAGATTGGTGTCCCCCAGCTCGATGTGCCAGATCCCCGAAGACGCTAGGATACGACACGTCCACGTCGCGGTAACGTCGGCGCTGGTCCTTGACACCGCGTGGACAAA